AAAAAAAAAAAAAAAAAAAAAAGAAAGAAAGAAATTCAAAGTTCTGCGTGTGCGCATATAGGCCAGGTTATACAACCGCAATCAACGTAGAGAGAGTATGACGATCGTAGGGTCGCCCTACTCGTACTGTTTATCCTCATTGCTGGCGTCGGTCACTTCATCATCGGGGATCCATTCCTCCGATTCAGGAACCCATGTATGACTATATCCGATTAGCGGGATGCGAGAATAAAGGAGGTCATGACACTCACTTATGGAAATGCGTATTAGTCAAGGAATTCTTCCCGTATTCCTCGATCAGAATTGCATCGTAGTCGAAGGGTACTTTGGCCGCCACTCCTTCGAATATGGTCTTCCTGAGGGGATATATATCCTCCGTCCGGTACTTGTGCTCGTGCTTATCCAGCCACAGGTTCGGCTTGTCCGGGTCTATTTTGCTCAACCCGGTGATATCAATATACAGTCCCGTTTGCATGTCAATCCATCGCGCATCAATGATGTTCAATCCCATGCCGTTGCCGCGTTGACGAGCCCAGGGATTGATATCGAGGAGATAATTCCGTTGTACGTCGGGGTGTCTGGTCGAATATTGCACGACTGTCTGGTTATAGTGGTCGGCGAGTTGGAACAAGGTGGTATCGGGGACTTGCGTATCCATGTCCCAGTCCCACGGCATGACCTGGAAATGACAAAGCGCCAGTTAGTCGGCGGTATGCGATAGAGATAGAGATAGAGATAGAGAAAGCCTCCCGGGGGGCAGATTTACCTTGCCGTTCCACCACCAGCCCAGCAACGTTCCATGTGCAATCCACGTCTCCAACCCGTTTTCCTCGAAGAAGTTCAAATATGCGCGCACCATATAGGTCATCGTCTGCGGACGCTCCTCATCCGCTACGGGTTCGGTGAAAAAGCGAGTGTCATAGTGGCCGAGGATGTCGTCGTTTCCCGGTTCATGAAAATACTTGAACTCCTCCGACTTGTTCAATCTGTACTTGTCCCACAGGGGGTCCGGGTCGTCATGGTTGACGACTTTGCCGTAATGTTGTTCCGCGCTCGCCGTCAATGGACCGCGGGATGCCTCGGTCCGAGCTGACCAGATCGCGCCGATGAGAGTCAACAGACCCCACAGGTGCATGTCTAAGGAACGGAGGGAAGGTGTCTGAGGGGAGTTGATCGGGGGCGAATAACGAGCAGGCCGATCATGCCTCGGTGCGCATTCTGACGAGGAACAGGCGATCACCAATCGGTCAATTAAGAAAGCGATGATAGATGGATATATAAAATATAAATGAATAAACACTCAAAGGGCCATCACAAGGTTCGAGCAGTGGTGAAGGAGGTTTGCGCACGAGGGGTCTCGGGAATGGAATGAATCTTATATTATATTCCCAAAAGAGTATCCCTGGCAAGCATCGGACTGTCGATCCGAACCCGAATGAGAGAAGCTAAAGGAAGACTAACTCTAAAAGCCCTGAAGAATGTAGGAAAGATAAAGAAAAATAATAGAAAAATTCCAAGGAACGTGAGGACTAAGGGAAAAAGGCCCAATAGCTCATACGAAAGCGCCGGAAGAGAAAGGAAGGTGTATCCCTGCGATCCGATCAATCCGTAGGGGGAAAAGAAATTTTTAAAAAAAAATCAAAAAATATTTATTATGGGAAAAGAAGACAAGTTCATAGCAGCTTCAAACTACTCAAGCGGGGCGACAGGTATTTGGGTTCAATCCCCACTGTGGCAGGAGAAGAGAGAGAAGAGCATCCTTGACCTGGATCAGTAAGGGTGGCTTCGAGACCCCCTTCCTTCTATGGTCTCCATGCATTATGTTATGTTCTGTTATGTCCAGATCTTGGGAAGAGAAGAAACCCATACAGTTAGAAGGACAAAATCGTAATTTCTTTCGGTATCGAACTTTACAAAATGCCGCCACCTCGCGTGCCAATTTGCCCGCTTTGGGGAAATATCCACTACTGTTAAATCATGTGAGTATCGAGACTAGACCCTATAGACACTGAACAGAGGACTGCTTTCAGCTAGAATTACCCCAATAGATGCTAAACATAAAATTAAAAATAAATACATACCAAGACACTTCTCACCCCATACATAGAGAGAGCGATAGGTATATATATATCTCTCTCTGTTTTGCTTCCGCACTTTAATCTATGTCAAGCAGTAATTCGTCATCTCTGAAAATAGTTGCTATATATATAATATCAATCGAGAAGACTCGTATTCGTAATGACAGCCCTATGTCCTCCCTACGGCTACTAATGCCGGATTCCGAAAGGAGTGGCTGATTTAGGGCGCCATCGAGACGCTTTAGTCGAGTGTGTGTTGGTGTAACCACAAGTGTTATTCTGGACGCTTGGATCCCCTTCCAACCATATTATACCAATCTTATGCACCGACATCCAGATCCATAAGGTATGTACGGTACTTCATCTACAGTGCGGTGTCTCATGCTCCAATCCCGGAACTAGTAGAACCCATCTCCTTCCGGATTGGGTGAATACGAAAGATAGAGATTGATATCCAACATTGGACCTCATTCACGACAGATATCACGGCATCTAATGAAATGACAACAACAACTCAAGAAAGCTCCCAAGCAGCATTCCAACCGAACCATGACACCCCCCTTTTTTTTTCTGTTGAAGCTGCCAAGCGGACCGGGTCCCACTCGGAGCTGTTGTCCCTCCGACTCCTGGCCGATTCCAAATCCAGTACCCTTGGCGAAGCGAACAACTGGATGAGCCCAAGCGACCTGTCACCGACCGATTGAGTGCTGCCTAATGACTCTCTTCTTGGCGGATTGAAGGGGAGAATGCATCTTTTGTGCAGTCTGTTTTACCAACTCCAAATGGTCCAAAAGGAGATGGTATGCTTTGGATTAGTTGCCGGATCAGTCACATGACCGCATGCCCTCCCATGTTGCAGGGGCGGATCAAGGGAAGGAGTCATGAGAGGTTTTTAAACCTATAGATCGAAGAGTTACTCTGTTGATTAGGTGGCATTAAGTGAAGTTGGGTTCAGCACTCTCACTATTGATGTTGACCTCGTCCGGACATAGACCTACCGGTTGTACCAAATATATTACAGAATAAGAGTACTCCGTAGAGTGGGTTACGTATATATATATTTTTCCACAGCATAGCGTCGCAGCCTGAGAACGAATGGAATCATTAGGCATTATCCTGGGTCTTTTCTGTATTGGCAATCATTTACTTTTGTGGCGAAAGTCTATCCACGCGTATCATAATCTATGTTCGCTTCCGTCTCTCACGCCTCGACTTGCCCTTCGATATGTCCGGTCGCTAACGGATGGGTCATGCGCGTGGTCACCACCAGCCCACGAAGCAACCAGGAAAAGAACGTCACTAACGAGACGGAAAAGTCAAAAAAGAAATCTCGTTCTACATCAAGTTTGCCAGATCATGTCGACAATTGTAAGAAAAAAAATAACATCGGGTAAGAAAGGAAAAAATGACTGTGGAAGCTGCAGTCGGGCGCACATCATCATTGAATTGGTTCGTGGCCATTGTCATTAACTTTGCATATGAGGAGAGTTGTGATCAATGATAATATAGTAAGGGAACGATGAGCGCAACGGAGGCAAAGCGTTTACTGCTTGTCACCCTCAGCAGGAGGAGCATCCGGCATCGTTTCGTTCCGCTCTTCAAAGTTCATGGCAGCTGCCGCGGCCTTCTTGGCTTGCTCTTCAGCCTGGCGCCTGGCTTCTTCCTCTGCGCGCTTCTTCTGGAACTCTTCCTCCTGCACCCGGAGGCGCTCCTCCATGATGGCATCCTTGAATGGCTTGTTCAACTTCTCGATCTCTTTGAGTTTGGCCTCGTAAGCATCCTTGGAGGCATCTTCACCTCCTGCTTCAGTGTCATCATACAGCCAATCCTACACAATACAAGTTAGCATGAAAATACACGGTGGGTTGACTGTGGGGGGACAAGCCCCAGAGAAAAGTGAAACATACCTGAATGTTCTCAAGTGCTGTGCTGAACTCAGCCAGTAATTGCTCAAGTTCCTGCTTCTTCTTCTCCACATCGGCTGGATCACTCCTGAAAAGCTTGTAGACCTCCCGGTAGGTACCATCAATGTTGTCCCGCTCCTCGTAGATGGTGGCCTCCAATTGGTTCTTCATCTCGTCGGTCTCAGCGATCTCCTTATCCAATGTGTACATGGCGATCTCGCTCTGAGCCCAGGCTTCCTTGGTGGATTGCTCGGTCGACGAAGTGCCAGCAGAGATGGGCAGGTCGCCCTTGCGAACCTGCTTCTTGACCTTGCGGGTCTTTTTGGGTTGCTCGTCAGCCTTGGCATCAGTGTCCATGGCCTAGTCACATGTTAGTAACTAACACAAAGAAGGGGAAAACAAAGAGAGATTGCGCAGTTCAACTTACATCACCATTCTCCTCGGGCACGGGCTCCTCCACTTCCATGTCTTCCACGTAGTAGCCGGACTCGACGTTGAGGATACCGTGCAGGTTCAGGCGAGCCTTCAGCTTGCAAATCATGAAGTCGTCGTTGGCATCGGCCTGGACACCCTTGACAGAGAAGCGGCCCACCCAGGGGTTGGTCTTTCCAGGAAGCATCTCGGGCTGCGCGTAGCGAGCTTCGAGGTCAAATGGCTGCTTACGGTAGAAAGTGAGAATCTTGGTCGAGGGCATGACGTTACCGCGGCCGAAGACGGTCAGGCTGGTGTCCTCATCCGGGATATCCGCGGACTGCTCCCAGGTGAACTCGATGGGGTAGTTGACGATGTCATGAACGGAGAAGTCGCGCACGCGGAAGACAGGAGAAAGGATGGCACAGCTGAAGGCACAGCCACGAGCGATGGCCTCATCTTGATTCAGAGTGAAGGAAAGGTTTTTGCCGAAGAACTTGGCAATGGCGTCCTTGATGGCAGGCACACGAGTACAGCCACCAACCATCTCAATGCTATCAATGTCCTCGGGCTTGAGCTTAGCCTCAGCAAGGACTTGCTCGATCGGAACAGTGACCCGCTCGAGGAGAGGCTGGACCATGGTCTCCAATTCTTCGCGCTTGACAATGGTCCGGACATCCACGTCCTCCATCAGCGACTCAATGCTCATGGGGGCGGCAGGGTTCGCTGACAGGACCTTCTTCATCTTCTCGGCAGCAGCGAGGGTACGAGCCCATGCCTTGGCGTTGGTACGGACATCGATCTTGAACTTCTCCTTGAACTCGCTGGCAAAGTGCTCGGTGAGGGCGAGGTCAAAATTACGACCACCAAAGTGGCGGTCGCAAGCAGTGGCCTTGACGTTCAGTTCACCCTTGCGGAACTCAACGATCGAAGCGGTGTAGTCACTGTGGCCGATATCAACGAACATGACGCGGCGAGGATTTTCCTCGGGGCCAGGAAGATCGAGCTTGGTGATACCATATCCGAGAGCGGTGGCAGTGGTATCGTTGATCAGTCGCAACACCTTGAGACCAGCAATTTCACCAGCATCGAGCATGGCCCGGCGTTGAACATCGGTGAACCAAGCCGGCACGCTGATAGTGACATCCGAGACGGGAAGTTTCAATTCAGCGGAGGTGATGTCTCTGATCTTGGTCAGGTACATGGCGACCAGCTGGGTAGCAGAGAACTTCTCCTTCTTCTGCTTGAAGGTGACCTCGACACCGGCCTGACCATTTACATCGCAGAGGGCGGCAGTGTTGTACTCCTGCTCGATCTGAATATCGGGGTCGCTGAATGAGCGGCCAATCAGGCGCTTGAGGTTTCCAACGGTGTTCTTCAGATTCGAGGTCTCTTGTGTCTTAGCTGCCTCACCGAGGGCTCTGCATTTCCTGCCGAATCCAACGAGGGAGCTGAAAATCACACGCTGTCAGTATGCAAAGGCCAAATCAAAAACAAGATAGGAAGGCATTTTGAGCCCCTCATGACTGGCGGCATCAGAACGGAAGGAAAGACATAGACATACGGAGTAGATCTGTTGGAGACTTCATTGGTAATCTAAATGGAGACACATCAACCGTTAGTCAAAGGGAACTTGAGGGAAGAGAGAAAGACGATGATGGCGGGGAAGGCATGATACGCACAATGTCAATACCCTTATTACGGGCCACACCAATTTTAGTGCTCTGGGCACCGAAGTCGATTCCGACAACACTCATGGTCGAAAGGGAGATAGATGTGATAAGAGAAGGTACGGCGGAAGAGAAGGGAAGATGGTGGGAGAAAGGGGATGGGAGTGCTTTCTTTTTTAAAAGAAAAGTGGTATAACAGAGAGAGATGAGAGTAAGAAGAAAAGATTGAGAAGAATGGGTTTAGGTTCGGAGGGGGAGAATTTGCAAGCAGAAAGCGCCACTATCGGGCGGTGATGCAAACTGTGGCTCAAAAAAAAAAAAAAAATAAAATTTGGAAAGACTAAAACGACGTGGGCTCCCCTCGCTCGTCACTTTGGAAGTATCGGGATCCACTATCAACTTTTTGTATTAAGTATAGAAGCAATCGATTCGGAAGGAATTGAGAGAAGGAGGATCAACAAGGCAGACTTAGGGCTCAACGATATATATATATATATATATCAATGTTTATGTGAGAGAATCACTGCATCCTCATTTTTTGAGTGACGATTCTCTCACTATAATATTTCAAACTATTTGGGCTCCGATGTGTTTGGAACCTTCGAGCACTTACCACTTGATTCTTCCCCCGCTCACCGCCCCCGCTACCCCGGGGCAGAACATCCCTCACCGCTCTCACCGCCTGTCGCGGGGTTTGCTTCTGGCTTCCGTTCTTATCGATACAAGAGTTTTTACGCCCATTGGGTGCCTGAGCGTCTTGGCCGCCATCCTCTTCACGTAACACTTACCTAATATCGACCCATTAATTGGAGGATATGCCATTAAAGGAATTTGTTTGTTTGCTATAGTACTCCGGTTACACATGTTCCCGGTGGTGATTAATGTAAATCAAGAGTTCCCGGAGGAAACAGAGAACGAACCGAGGAAAATTTACACGCTAGCCTTTGTGGTTGATCGATCTATAGGGGGAAAAAGGGAAGAACCTAAGCCAGAGAAAAGCAATTCAACAAGCAACGTCGTGCATCCAAAACCTCCAAAGATCTCGCCCTCTAGTTTTAATCCGGCTACCCAGCCTCCAAATATTTAGCCAACGTGAGCAAATATCATGCTATCATGAACAATGGGCTCCACTCGAATACCCTCCGCTGGTGATGTCATACCATGTTCTCAGCGTGCCTGGACAGTGATCTTTGTCTTGGGGTGTTTAGTAGACGCCGCCCACGCGATGATTGGGGACTCCAGGAGTTCCCCGTCATTATACCAAGCACTCCTGGTTGCTGGGTGAGTGTAGGCTCTTGTTCTCGTTCCGGCGGGCTCAACGGGAAGCCTTGCAATCGTTGGACCTGAATAGAGCGGTCGATGGTAGCTTGTGTCTCAGGACCATCAAAACAGTCGTGGGGAAGTGGCCTCATAAGGTTTTGAGTATCTGCACCCTGTCCACCCTGGGGCTCCGTGACGATGTATTCAAGACGAGCGGCAAGCTCCTGTGCTTGACGAGCCATGTGATGCTTCGCTCGATGCTCTTCGTTCATCAAGCTCTCCATAGGCACGGGTAAATATATGGAGCTACCGCTAGAGTCCGTCAATACGGAATCGGAAGAGCAAGATGGGTGTAGGCCAATTCGAGGAACATCTGGGAGAGGGGCTAATATACAAGCGGTTGTTATCATGGTATCCTCAAAATTGGCAATGTGCCTGCCGCACAGTCCTGGTAGCCTAGAGAGACGACTACCAGTTTGCTCGGACGGTCGAATAGGTGACTCTTTCTTTGCAGCTTTTGCACGGAAGGCGTCAACCTGGACGTTGAGTTCATCATCCTGCGCCCGAGCCTGCTCCACGGCTTTCTCGGGCGTGGTATGCTCATCAGCTTCTGCTTCATCCGCTCGCGGTCCTCCCCATGTTCGTTGTCCCGCCGTGAAAATCCCGTACACCATATACAACCAATTGAAGAAAGGGTTCACAACGAACATGATCGGATACAGCCAAGCCTTGAATCGCCTGAGCTTGATTCCAAAATAGAACATGAGCGCATAATTGAGCCCGAGCGAGATCGCAATGAATCCAACAGGGAGATCATGGAATCTGGTGAATGTGGTTATGATTGAAGCAACCTGGATGAAGAAGAGAAGAGAAGTGGTGCGGATGGTATTTTGCATGAAGCGGATCAGACAGAGCTGAGGATAACGCCTCCATAGCCGGCTGTCGGTCAACATGCATGCCTCGTTGGTCATGTAGCCCAGCCACCAGCGACGCCGCTGGTGCAAAAGGCTGCCGAGGGTCTGGACCGCCTCCGTTTTGCAAAACGCACTGCTACACATCTGGATCTGGTAGCGTTTCTCTGCCCCGATCATGAGCAGATGGGTCAGCCATCGATCTTCTCCCAACTGACACTTGGCGTAGTCGAAGAAATCCTCGCATTGTTCCGCCTTGTCTGCAAAATAGTACTTGGCCATCTTGCGAAAAGCGGAGAATCGCAGCATCGTCAATGCGCCGGGGAGACACGTTACAGCACCACAGCCCGATTCCACCGAACGCTCAAAACACTGCCCATGAACGTATTCGAGGTCTTGCAGCACCGTGATGAAACTATTCTTCTGTGTCGTTGACGTGATGATCCCGGTCATGGCTAGCATATTGCGCTCGCTTCCCGGCTTCAGCTCCATATCATACATGAGGTTTTGTAGGCATAATCGATCTAGGTTGCAGTCCGAGTCGATGAATAACATAAACAGATTGCCGTACCGCCTGTTGTATTCCGCGTATACTCGGTCGATCAGTCGAAACGTTAATTTCTGACAATGTCGCTTGCCACCGTGTTTGAAACGAGACACGGTGACCCTCACACCTTTGTACATCACATCTATACTCGGCGGATAAGTATTTAGGGAGATTGGTATTCCAAGATGTTTCATCATGCGGAGGTATGGATCGATATGCCCTCCATCATATGATAGAAATACGTGAATACAATTCAATGGGTAGTCGCTGTTAACAACGGAATCGAGTGCTTTTATCAAGACTGCAGGATCTTCCTTGTATGCCGGTATGACAACCATTATTTTTGGCGCCGTCCGGTCATTCAAGACTTCCTTTAACATCTTTGTTCTTCCGACCGAGCTGGTGACTAGTCGATAGATGCAGAACAGCCAGGGGATAGTGAGTAAAAGTGAGAAAGTATAAAAGGCGAACCACTGGAGGAAGGAGACGAGCGGATGAGGATAGTAGTGGGTAAGCTGGGGTGGCAAGGGGAGGGTGACAGCCATAACTGGAAGAAAGATTCCTCTATATCGATCGATATGCTCTGGTCACTGAAGGTTGTTTGTAGTGAGTTCCGTGGATTAACTTACCTCATTGCCGTAAAGAGAGCCATGACCACCACAGCAAGGACCTTGGTACTCCAATGTTCTGCTTTTCGATAGGCCTTTGCTAGACAGTATATGAATGCAACGAGAAAGAGAAACCATTCCAATAAGGCTGCTAACACCAAAGGGCTAATAGCTGATACATATATGATCTAACTGCTGGTTCAACATGGTGCTCGCATCTGAAGTCAAAGGCCGCTCGACTCACCTCCTTGACTGCCCATGATCTGGGCCCGACTAAGTTGTCACTCTCCGCCATAGCAGGACGATGTACGAAGACAAGCGCGGTGTCGCTGGCTTGTCGCTGCTAGATTATTGTCGCTGAATTAAAAAGCGGTTGGGGGGTTTTGAGGTTCTAGGGCAGATAAATTTGTGGAGCTTGATTACTGCAAAGATTGTTGCCAATTTAGTAGCAAAAAACAATTGCTTGTAGCTTCTTACCTTCAATCTATGCGCTCTGGTGGTACAATCGGTCGTGCCATCAACCCTTAGTTGGGGGCAATATCGTTCGTATCTACTGGCGAGGTCAGGGATCGTTTGTCGATGCGCCTATTCATATATTGTCAATATCAATATTGATGCCAGTAAGGTCGAAGACTTGGGACGAATGGAGGACGAAAAACCAGGAAGGTGCAGTTCTTTGTGAATTATGTTATTGTGTCGTACTGTGCGCCTGAGGCATTCTCCTGTCTACTCTCGTGACATGTAAAAGATCATTTCCCCAACTTTCCATGGGTTGGTATACATCCTCCCGATGGATGGTCTGGCCTTGTCCAATCGGCCTCAGGGACATTAGCTTCTGTGTACATTATCGCACTACTAGACGAGCTTAACCTGCCGGGTGAGAAAATTCGCAATAAGGCTGTCAACGAGAAGTTAGCCTTCCCCTCCACTCCGACGGTGATATTACTGAAACTGGCATTATTCGAGATGGTTGATGGAAAGTCAGAGCAGAGCGCCCTAGTGGTTCGTTCAGGCACACATTTGTTCCAATATGGTCTCGACTGCGTCATTAGCTCCCTGATGCCATTGTCAACATGGCAACAATTTTTGAGATGATTTCACGTCAAAATCCACTTTTCTTCTACGACTATAAAGTCCGAAACTGGAATTAAGCGTTAATTAGGTCGACCGCTAGGCCATGGAGATAGAGAAATGCTTCGTTTGACACGGTGCCAGGGCACATAAGGCCAGACCACTCCATGTTATGTCCGTTTGGTCTTGTACCACACTCTTAATTGATGCGTTCGCCACAATTCCCTTCGTTAGTATCACCACAGATTACGGGACAGGGGGCTACTCGGATATAGTAGTGATTTATACGACGGAAATGACGATTGGTAGTTACAGCACAGCTTTTGCACCAGCCGAGCCAATCACTTTTGACCCGAGTAATGTAACATATGAGAGAACCCACGATGGGCTGCTATGTTGTTGGTCTATCGGATACGTACCCACATACATAGCCACTACAGCCGTGCTAGCCAGCATCCCGGCGCCTAAATGAGGGGGCACCCTCAGTCAGTCCATGCGGCCATGGGCTCATCGGCAATAGCCTCCCTTCTAAGGGCAGCCTCTATCTGTTTGATCTTTCTTCGATTTATCTATTCAAAGTCGCTCGTGATTGAAATTGAGTTTCGATTGCTTTGGAGCTGAAAGGCAGTCCTGACTCACGGGTTTATGATGAACGCATTAGAAAGCCAGTTGCGACAGCCTTTACGTCTTATTGAATACGTTCCATTGGAGGAGAACTGGAGAAATGATCCGGAAATCTATGGTCCTAACACTCGTTTTGACTGCACAATCTGCAATAATATCTGGAGCACAATCCTCGCAACTGAAGAATCCACGTTTGCGATGCTAGGATCTTTCAATGATGATATAGCCTCGCAACGATCCAGATATATGCCCTATCCCTGTTCCCGGCATTATCCTTTATTTGAACAGCAGAGAGATGGTCGCCGTGAAATGAAGGATATACAGATATCGACAGATATATCTAAGCTTCCCTATAGTGCACACATCAGTGATACTGAGGAGAGTGGGAGTATTTTACTCGCTAGGACTGATGATCAGAATAGCATTGGAGTTGGAATTATCTTAGATCCGGACTGGATCGATATGGAGATCCCAAAGGCTTGGATGTATCAATGTTTGTCTGAACATGGTAGCAGTTGCGTGAATCCGCTAAATGTTAGGCAGGCGTGGCCCGCGTGGCTTATTGACGTTGATAACAATTGCCTGGTGCCCGCCCAAGAATCCTATGAATACGTTGCTCTTAGTTATTGCTGGGGTGGAGGCCCGAATTTCTGTGCGACTGTCCATGACAAGGACGAGCTCCAGAAACGAAATTCACTGATTTCCCCAAAGCTCGCTAAACAATTGTCGCCAACAATTCGACATGCCATCTCCATGACTAGAGCTATTGGGTTGCGCTACCTGTGGGCGGATGCACTATGTATCATCCACGGTGACGATACAGAAACGACAGAGCAGCTATTGCTTATGGGCTCTATATACGCGACTGCCATCGTTACTATTATTGCTGCTAATGATGGTGTACAGCACGGTCTTCCTGGCCTAAAAGGGATTTCGTCCTCTCGCCATTTGGAACAGAGGGTAGTCCCTTTTGGGAAAGAGAAATGCATTGCAGGAAAATCAATAGCGAGCCTTCAGAGCGCAACACCGTACTATAGTCGTGGCTGGACATATCAAGAACAGCTGATGTCAGCTAGAAAGATTATCTTCCAAAACAAAACGCTGCACTGGGACTGTATCTGCAGTACATGGCACGAAGAACTGGCCATCCGTACAGAAGCAACAAAAGTCTACGCATTTTTCAAGGAGCTGCGGGAGCTAATAGCCGGTTTCCCCGACTTATCGTCGCTGAACAATCTGTTATCGCAATATAATAGAAGAAATTTCACCTACGTTGATGATGCTTGGCCCGGTATAGCGGGCCTCCTTTCCTCTTTGGGCACAACATTCATTGGTGGCTTTCTATATGGGCTTCCGGAGATGTTATTCGATAGAGCCTTGGGGTGGAGGCCGCATGGAAATATCAAACGGCGGAATCCATTGACTCGCCCTGTTGAGCAGAAATTGCCTGATTCAAACATACCATCCTGGTCGTGGATAGGGTGGCATGGTACATTTGACATAGGCCTAAATGAGTTCTCAAAAGTGAAAGGTATTGGCCACGTTGAAGAAACAATTCCCTGTGTCCAATGGTTCACCTTGGAGACTCCAGACTCTCCACCAAGGAGGATTAAATCAGTTTGGTTTAGAAATCGTGATTCATTCTTTGAGCGAAGCTCCCAGCAACTGCCACGGGGCTGGAGACAATACGAGGTTGCGGACCCCCGAGATATAAGCCCAAGACTACTATACTCAGACAGAGGCAGTAAGTACCTCTATCGCCATCGCAAATTGGGTAGTAGCTCGTGGTTCTTTCCGTTTCCAGTGCCCGACCTCTTGGTGCCTCGTGTACCGGCCTCGCCCAAGCAGACGCCATTCCTGTTCAGCAGAACAAAACGGGCGCATGTCTATGGTATGTATGTCACAAGAACTGCTCCCTTGCCTCATGATAGAAACACATTGTACCTTTTCAATACGTCAAAAAACAAAATAGGAGAGCTTTGGTTGCATAATGAGGGTGATCGAAACTCTTTCCCAACGGATAAGACAGGCGATCCTCCAAGGATGATTGAGCTCGTTGCCATCTCCCGATCACGAGCATATAATCGTGTTTGGTATAAAGAGCAGAGCAGATGGAGAGATGCCACTATGTCAGAAAGATATAATGTGCTCTGGGTGGAGTGGAAGGGGAAGGTAGCCTACCGGCTAGCAAGTGGATATGTTGAGCAGGCCGCATGGGAAACCTTGGACTTACAGGATGTCCATCTGATTCTCGGTTAATGGCGCTACCGAGCGCCATTTGGATATCAGTTCTCTTTGACTGAGAACGAGTACCACAAAAGTCTATACTCGAATCATGAATGTTTGAAGCGGATTCCAACATTTGCGCTATATATACTGATTGTTGATAATTCATCTATAAATGTAATAGATAGGCAGGGACCTGACGTAGTCTAGATGTAGAGCTGTCAGTTCGTCCCCTTCGATCCTCTTTCGAATGCCTGTCTTAAGATCAACGAAGATCTCACATTCACTCTCACATTATATAGAAGCCTTGTTAGATTTGCCTTGCTTGAAACATCTCCAAATCGCAGTTGTACCTCTGCGTAATTAATGCATGGCAGTTCAGACAAACAGCCTTAATTGATTCTTCAAAAGCCGGTACCTCCGGCGACTCCTGTGTGATTCTGTACATTTCCGTAGTTTTGATTGCGATTCCCTTGGCATTTCCGCTTTCGTTCGATTTATATCCTCGACTTGCTATCAGTATATACCATGTTATACCATGTTATATCTTGAGGGGTTATCTGGAGCTCATCTCCATCAAAATCATGATCTTATTGGGCCTGTGGTAAAGCAAAGTTATGCGGCGAGAGATAGACATTTTTGTACACTGCTCAAAGTTAGCACGCGGTCTTCCAGTCGTAGACCGTTGCTAAAGTGGTTAACGTACCCTCATCAATTAGATCGGTCTCGTTGTAGTGCGTACTAAAAGTTGGATCAGTAGCTGAGTCCTTATTATAAACAACGGCATCGAACTTCGGCTGCCTCTTCTGCTAAGTATAATGCAATCGCGCAATATAGTTCAAAGCCTCCGTGAACCCATGGTTCCAGGAAGGCTGCTTTTCAGAATAAAGGTCGGAGACGAGATATTTAAACGGTGCATTGCCCGGCCACGTTGTACCAACATAATCCCTAGAGAATGTCTGTCAATGGAGAACAAACTGGTTGACGCCTCCAGCAACGGCCCGACTAATTTCCCACAAAAGCGCTGTGATAACCGGTAGGTTACCCTTCATTTATGATTGATCTCAGTTCGTTGGAGGCGACACGTTTTCCAGCGAGAGCAGCGGGCCCACGAATTGACGATATCCTTGATGCTGTCCTGGAATTGTAGGCTTTCACATTCGGGCGTGTTCACTTCTGAGATACTTGTCAATGCATCGAGAGGCATGTTGTAAGATACCTGGAAAGAATACTGAAGGCCCATCTCATTCGCCCACTGCGTCAGACACTGCAAATATGCCCTATATTCCTCTACTAACGCAGCCCAATAATCGTTCACATACCCACTGCCCTGATCGGATGTATCCAACAAGCACTGGATAGTGCCAGGGGCAGTTATCTGCATATTGGTGTTGTTGTTCTTGTACATTGCAAGAGGAAGATACTTTTCATACTGTAGCCATGCTTCTTCTTAAAAATGTTGGGTAGGTCCGGCGTCCAAGATATATTTGATTTGATCTCCATACTGTCCCCCCAATCTGTGCATGATCAGCCCTAAGACTTTATTCATATACCAAAATAGCTGCTTACCATAATTCCCGAATGCAATAAGCATTTGCCTGACCTCATCCTCCAGATAAACTCATCCCAAAAACGTGTGACAGTGACTACTCTTCTAGCACTAAAATGATCAATGGTGTATGATCTACTGTCAAATATCGTCTTTGATGCATTCGAGGTACCTGGAACAATTCCATGCAATGACCTATGTTGGTGAAATCCAACGAGCTTATATCCTTGGCCCCCCGTCTTGAAATTTCAAGGTTGTCTCCCTGTGGACGAAATATTCCGTGACCACTCCTGCAAGGTTGAGTTTCTCAATACGTACTGAATAGAGGCAGGCTGAATTTCACTGCCAGGAATTAAGCTCTCCGTGGGGTTAGAGATATTCCGACTGGATAACACCTCGGCAGAAATGACAGTCACCAGCTCCCCGGGCAGGCACCGGCGAGCTGTCCTGAAAATAAGCCATTCCGAGGGGACAGTGACCAAGGCAGTAGTTTAAAGGCTTCCAGATCAGGATTATACATGGCGATTCTTACTAATGGCAGTGCTCACTAAATACCACTAGAGCCCCTTGTCATCAGGGCTCGCCGACACCCCTTGTCCCTGATTCGGTCCCAAAGGGAAATCCATAACTAGGCTCGCATCCTTATGGGCCTGAAGTGCAGCCTTGAAAATATTCACAAATTCCGTAGTACCGAACCCATAAGTCACCCAATCTGACCTGGGAACAACCTCATTATAATCATAGTAAGAAATTCCACCCCTCCAGCGCTATTCGCTCCGGCGACTTGGATGTTCATTTGAACAACAGTCGGGCCTACGCTAGCGTCCGGAAGCCAGTAACGGAATCGAGGACGGACTCGAGCAGCGGGGTTTCTGAATTCCTATAGTTGATCTCCGCTCCTACTTGGTCGTTGTTGACTGCCTGCTCAAACTGGGAGAACAGGAAGATGTCTAGACACAGAAGAGGTATTTTCATCGTGGATGTGCAAAGGTTGCTACACCCCACTGTTCCATAGTACAAAAGATTAACTCAATACAAGAGGTCATGACGGCCAAAGTGCTGGGCCCAGAATGGTACTCACCACCCCGAAATGGGTGATCGTCAAGCTCGGAAAACCCGAGCGTTGATCTACAATCCTTCTGCCTTGGGACCATCCTACTGCAGTGTTATCCAGGCTCTAGGTTTTCTCCGCATTCTAGGCATGAAGTGGGGAATCGGACTCTTGTTAAGAGTGTCAGAGTGGGGGCAGACGGGGTTCTGCAGGATTCAAGATTAGTCCCATGTCCGAACTGGGCTATTTGATGCCGAGGTGGAGACGGCCGTCATATAATTTTCATTCGTATTCTTCGTGACAGATAAATTCCATATCTAACACCATATATTGGACTCTGTGTTCAGCATGTAGAACGTAATCTCTTTCTTCATTGGTCGCCTCTTGTCTTCCTCGTCTCCCCCCTGAATGGTTTATTCTGGTTTCTGTGCATACACCACGTAACTTGGCGACGGTTAGAGGACATTTGAAAGATTGACAGAGGCTCACACTTACAAGTTATGCTGTGCATGTAATCGGGGATTCTTCAGATCCTTCCTCACATCTGCTAGGAATACCCGTAGTTCTTCAGGCTTCCATCCCTTCATGTCTGTGAAGATCCGGAGCGACATGCCGTCGACTCCTTCAAAGAACTGATGGAAATTCAACGCTCCCACGGTTTTCTATTACAGTATGTTATTAGATGGAAAGTCGAGAATGTCTTTATGGAGGCGAGGAATATCGTGACACATACGAGCCTCTTATCCTTTGGCCAGGCACCCACAGGTATGGGAATGATCTTCTCTTGTACATTGACAAACCCAGCATCCTTCAGCCACTGCTTTAGCTTGGGGCCGGGAGAGGCTACCAATCCAACGGAATTCAGGCCGTCGATTGATTCGGTACACCACCTGTCCAATGGACAGCCGGGTTTGAATTCCCCATTCGTCGTGTAGAATTGCATTTCAAAATCTTGGAACTCCGCCCAACCTCCTGGCTTGGTGAACCTGTGAACGAAGAAACAGAATCAGTGTCTTTCGATGCATGTACACTCTTAGCCCTCAGATTTGTGCATTTCTTACTTGAATGCCTGGCACACTAGCTTTGGCCAGTCTTTGATCGATCCGGCCAGGTAACGCGCATGTATATAGTCGAATTTGGAGCGGTACACCCAGTCATCCTCGATATCATCTACCTCGAACCTGACATTTGGGGGTACTCTGAAATAGGTGTCAGTTAGCCTAACTGTGCGGTCCCTACTAATGGCATGGTTCTACGTACAGGTTGGGCTGGATAGGACTGAGGTCATTGCCCAGAATCTATGCACAATAGCTTCAGATGAGTCCGGTCCAAAGTAGTGGTATCTAAAGATGATCTCACCTCCGCAGAAGTGTAAGTATCCCCTGGATGACATTAGATTCAACACCGATTCATGATAAAACTAGAAAACTGACCCATATCGATAGCCCAAGTTCCAGTACCAGTTCCTAGATCTAGAACTTTTTGAACGTCGGGCCCAATTGGTGCCAGGTGGAGGTCCCCGTTGCAACTGAGCGTCAAGATCTGATGGAAAAGATCGAGGCGGCCTTTCTCCTCCTAGAATCCCTGCGTAAGTACCGTTCCGACTTTGTCTTTGCGCCGGATGGAGCATAACGTACATCATCATTGGGAAGATAATAATCTAGTAATACCCCAACAGACCGCGGTTAGATCAAATTGGCACGATACCCGGTACATTTTGGTTCCCCTGCAACTCACTTTCGTCTCTGTAGGCGTGGTACCGACGACCGTTTTCGAATTTGTACGCGAAAACTCCCGAACTGAGACTTGTCGTGTAGCTCGGACTATGGCGCTCATTACGTTAACATCCTGATGTCCACGTTTTGGCGCTTAGAAGACTCACTACTCGTCCTCATAATTCAGGTCTCCAACGTCAGATATTTCCTATCTCTGAGATTACTAAATTGTACGTCGCGAACAAAGTGCAACGCCGATACTCACATCATCTGCCTCAACGAATTCCTTCTTCGGACCAGTTGGATCAATAACGGCCGGTCTTGGATCGTCGCCGGTGGCCATTATTGCGAAAGTTCAGGCCTTTGTTTTGGCAGTCAAGAATTAATGATGATAACCAGAACAAGCTAAGGTTTCTCCCCGATCATGCAAGGTGGGTATGGCCTCTTATACCATGGGTCGGTGAGGAACGGGAGGGGACCTCGCCGAAACATACGGTGATTACTGAACCATAAAAAGGCCCCCACAACCCCCCGGTTCTTTTGGGGTCAGAAGGATATCGCAATGACCTCAATGGGTAATCGATCGCGGCTTCC